AGCCAATCAGATTAACGATAATTTTTACAACAAATATAGTTGCAATCCTACTATCCTGCCTTTTTCTCTGCTTATGCTTGCTGGCTGAAGGACGTCTCTTGCTTGGCTGCTTTTGTTAAAAAATATAATACGCCATCATCAGAATTGTGGGGTGCAGATTGGCATGGAGGTAGGAAGTAAGATGGAGTTGCCCTAAACAAGTTTCTCCCGTACCCTGCTCTGAAGCACCGGCGATCCCTACGTGGTGACCAAAACATTGGGTCATTTACCATTGAGTTCAATAGGATTTGACGCATTCGGATGTAAATATACATATAAATGTATATATTTTCTTTTTCTACAACACTTCAGAGTCCTAAGTATATGAAAACAACATATTTTTAAACAACATTTCATTCTGAAAGGAATTAAATGCTATAACTTTCACAGGACAGTTTTTTTCTCAGAATGGTTTAAATTGAATGAAATATTTTCACAAGTTTTCGTTACTTACATTAGGAAAAAAATTTAAATAATTCGATTTTATTCGGTTAAGGTAAAAAATTAAGATCACAGTTTATTGTATTTTAATATTAAAATTATGCATTATTTTTTTCTATTTATTATAGAGCTTCTTCCTAAAATACTTTCTTAAATATGACCTGATTTTTTGGCTTCTGAAATCATCTTTAAATCAAAAATGTAAGTCAATTTATAATAATGCTCTATTCGGTTCATTTTAAATTAGAGAATTATTAGGAATTAGCGAAATACTTAAATAGTACAGTAAGACCCCCGCTTAACGCGGGGGATACGTTCCATCAAAGTAGAGCGTATGCGAAAAGCGCTAAACGAGGCTATCTTTAGATGTAAATATTGGGTTAGGGGAAGATGGCTAGGAAATTGGTTAGGTATTAAATTTAAAAGTATGTTTTTTTAATAAAAATAAAACCAAACATTTATTCTTAAAGCCCAAATTAATACCACATTATTATTTCTTGCAAAAATAAAAACAAAATATAAATACAAAACGAATATTCTTAAAAAAAAACAAATAAAATTCTAAGTCAGTCATATTTAGTTAGCCTTCCGCGGTTTCAGTGTTCTGCCTTTTTTTGTGACAAAGCATCTAATGTTGTTTGCCTTTTTCTTTTGCGTTGTTCTCTTAAAAAGTTCTTCATAACGGATAGAGCATCTCTAACACCACGCCTTACTTTTGAGCTCCTGTCCAAATTCGGATCATTTCAATGAATTGATCCATTATTTCAGTTATGGTAGACAAACTCCTTTTTACAACGCCATCGAAAGTTTTTTTTGCTCTTCTTCTGAATCACTGCTGTCAACATTTTTGTTTTCTTCTTGTTCAGTTAATTCCTTGAGCTCATCATTAGAAAGACTAGACGCTGCTTCTTGAATTATTTCTTCGACATCTTCCACATTTACCCCTTCAAAATATGTCTGTACAATACCGCATCAAACAAGAAATACAAGTACACTCTTTCGGATATGTATTTGAAACCTATCGCTGCATAATATTTCGGGGAATCCCCGTATGCTGCGAGCGATTTCGTGGAATCCCCGGGTTGAAATAAAAGAGCACTAAACTGAAACAGCGCTAAACGAAACAGCGTTAAGCGGGGTCTTACTGTACTTGACTTTCTCTGAACATTTCTGAAAGGGAATAAAATATTTTTTTTTTTTTTTAAAGTATTATTTAAAATTTGTAACTGAGTTATTATAAAATGTAAGGGGAATAATTCTTTTAATTATACTTATCAGATTTTTTTTACCCTTTATTTCAACAATACATATTCCAAAACTCTTTATTACGTTCTTAAGTGCGCATCTCATAGCATTTGCTTTACAATACCTTTTAACAGATTGCTTTCCAATACGAACAATTCTTGCTTAAATACTTTTATAACGTACTTGTCAACAGGATTTCAATTTATGTTTACAATTCAATATTAAGGTTATTATATATTTAGATAACATTTAAAATCATTATAAATTAGATACATTTAATAGTTAGATTTCTTCACAGTACTTTCACAGTTGTTTATAAGTGAATAAATTCTTCATTTCAAATACATTTATAAAAATTTATGAATATTTACGTATTTTGTCAAAGGCAGATACATGCTTTTTGCAATAATATGCAACAATAATATATGGATGTGAAAAAACATTTGTTTTATTTAAAAAAATTTTGGTATTTGGAACACAAAATAAAAGTAGCGAATTCTCTATCAAAGAGTATCGGAAAGACTGTATACAATTTTAAAGATACCGTGAGGTATTGTTTTTTCATTCTTTAAGCATAACACTTTTGCTTAAAATTTATATTTTTGTAGTTCAACAGCTTAGAATTTTATAAAACGAAATTCATAGTCAAAATCGCGCTGTTGTTAGTTACCGAAAAATAACCAAGATGTGATTTTTCGCGTACACGTCACTAAAGTATACAAATTGCTATATGCCATCACATATGAATGTCTTTTATGCGAAAGTGTCCCGTTTTTCGATTTGTATGGAACTGTCGTGTGTCGAAATACTATCAGAACCGTTTCAAAAGAGCTTCTGAATGTAAACAAAGAACACCCCATCTGGTGACCCAAGCTTCAAAGTAGTGCTTCACTTCTAGTGCCGACTGGCCCCTCCTTCCTTTCCTACCTCCATGCAGATTGGCCCCTATTGTGAAGCGCAACAATTAATAAAGATATATCTGGAATATCAAGTGATTTTGTGATTTTTCAAAAGTTCCCGGCATCTTCTGCTACGTAATTGTTAATCAATATTTTCAGTTAATTAATATTTTCAGTGATCTTCTAATCGTCAATCCACTCAAGACTGCAAATAATGTCTTCCCTAGTCAAACATTCATCTTTTCATCATCATTACTGCATTTCACGTACTAAATCTTATCATCACATATATGTATACTAGAAAGCTCGGAGGTCATACGAAATGACCGCGTTTGTAGATATTATAAATTGTAATTAAAATGATTTGTGCAAAGGTGTGTGCTAATTTAAACTGAATTACCCAGGGCAGGCGGCGAGGGCGCCCCTTTGCTTACTGCCCCACGGGTTTCCCCTTTTTACTTGCTCAAAGCAGAGTACAATGAAGGAAACCACTGGCGGTACATTTCTTAAGAGCCCACCACTAGCTCAATCAATAAAAGTGATTTAAATAATGAAATGTTAATTCACATGTCAAAGATCTCTTTGTACACAACATTTCTTGTGTAGATCTTTCCATCATTTTTAAGCTCGCCTTGCAGAGGACCATCAATTACTTTTAATTTTACGTCCTGTTCTTTCAAGAACGCTTGAACAGGCAACATAAAGTTGACCGTGTCCAAATGCAGGCTGAGGTAAAAAAACGGCGAACACGCTTAGGCGTTTGGCTCCTGACACTTATTGATCGGTCATATAGCAAAGGCAAGTTTACATAGGAAATTGTCTAAGTCTCAATTGAAACAGGCAACTCTGTTGCAGTCAGCAACATTCACCCCATCGGCTAGTACAGTTTACGCAAGCAACTAATAAACTATCGACGACAAACAGACACTTAAGCCGCATATGTATTTAGATTACATGTTACTTGTAAAAAATGCTTAATCGATGCCGCTATCTTTGCGGGTCTGCATATTTCTTGTGGAAATTTTATTATATATATATGTTAAATTTATTTATTAAATGTTAAATGCACATGCTCTTGTATTTTTAATTTTTCGGGCTTAGCTTTCTCATAATATTTGTTACGCGCTGCACTTCACGGAGAATAAAACAATTTACAGTTATGCAAGCAACCAATAAACTATCGGCGACAAAGAGGTATTAAATTTTAAATGCATGTGCTCTTGCATTTTTAATTTTGCCAGCTTAGCTTTCTCATAATTTTCATCACGCACTGCACTGCACAGGGAATAAACAGTTACACAAGTAACCAATAAACTATAGGCGACAAACAGATGTTAAATTTATTTATTAAATGTATGGGTCTAATTAAGCTTTTTATATTAGAATCTTTGTTTTTATGCTAGTAAAGTTAGACTTCAAGTATTTTAATTTATGCTTTTAATTATTGTATATACCTCCTTCGATTAAAAAAATTTCTTAATTTTATAACTTAAATATTATTTATAATGTATTTATTAAATAATTTGTCAAATCAAAATTATTGAAATTTTTAGCAGAAAAGAAAATGAGTTCTGTAAGTTTTTATTTCGCCCTCCTTCACATTATAAATCATTTCAAAATTTAGTTAAAACAATTCTATTCAAAAAACGAAAATTTTATTGCTGTTATAATGCTTTTATAAGTACATCGAAGCTTTATTGTATCTTTCCTAGAAAATTAAAGGAAGGAAACTCGTTTAGAATTATTTAGAATGATGGCCTGATTTTCTATAAACTAGATTTCATATTTTTGGTAGAATTTTAATGACTGACTCTGAGTACATTATATAAAATTCTAAACAAGGGAATACTCAGAAACTGTACCAATTTTTAAAGAATCTCTACACAAATCTTTATAGAATATCTGCACATATTTCTTCAGAATTTTTTTTACGTGACTGTATATATAGAAGCTATATCTAAAATTTTGCAGAATTCCATAGATCTCTGATTAGTTCAGAGAAAACTACAATCTGATTCTACAGAAGTTTAATACTGGATTTTTATCTATAGAATTCAACAACACATTTTCACAGGAAAATTCAAGCTGCAACTTGAATGTGTGTTGAGTATATGGACTTGAAATGCAAATTTGACTCAATGGGCATAAATTTTACAAGTTTTATGAAAAATAGTAGTTTGGGAAAAAATTATACAGAGATTATGAAACTATAGTATAACATTATATAACTAATATAAAAAATTCTTAAAAATTGATCAATATATTTTTGTAAAAAGCCACACTCAAATGAGAATTTTCAATAAATATAGAAGTAGTAAACATATGAGATATCTGACCTATGTCCTGTTAGGAATAATAAAAGAAATGCATTTTTACTTTAGCATCAATGCTATTTCCGCCATGGGATCTCCCTCTCCTCTTCTCTGTGCTGTGCTGTCGTTTCTTATTTTGAATTGTTAGTAAGTAGGAAATGAATGTATTTTTCAGTTCTTTCTCAAATTCAAGTTCGTCTCGTAGGGCTAGCTCTTGAATCAAAACTTCAGAGTTCTCTTGAATCATTCTTTCCAATTCCAAATATACTTCATTGAGTTGGGAATTCGTCAATGTTTTCAACTCTGAACAGAAAGGGGGGGGGAATTACATGTGAAAAGAAGTTTATAAAGGTATAACAAACAGCAAATCACATTAATAAAACTACTAATGCATCATCGATTTACTGAAACCATTTTTTTTTTATACTTTAAAATTCTGAGAACATTCATAATAGCCAATAATTACAAACTTACACACCACAGTTTGTTTAATATAATGAAAGAAACTTAAGTTACTTTAATAAAATTAGATTTAGACTTTTCAAAGAATAAATATGATCAAGTGAAATTCCATCACTAATTAAAAAGGTAGTAATTTAAATAAAAACACTTTAAGCTTTTCCTACTTTCCATTAGCCAAAAGTACACACATAGATATAATCATAAACAAGAATTGAAATTATATGGAAAATAATACAAAAACTACTTTAATTTTAAAAAGGAAATAAGCCTTTGTAATAACTACAACTGAACTTAAGCTATGAAACTCTGAATGGAAATTTGTCTTTAATCTGTTGGTAATTACAGGGAAGGGCGAATTCAACACAATTAATCGGGCTCAAATGTAAGAAATCCAATACAATGTACATGTCTAATAAGATTAAATAATTTTTTATAACACAATATGTAATATTAGTCATGTCACAATTCCTTCCCTGAAATTGCAAAGGACTTCAACATAAAAAAAAAAAAAAAAAAAAAAAAAAAACATAATTGCTGAAAGCATAATCTAGATCAGTCATATATAAACTTTATGGCACTACAATTCCATTAAAATGCAAAAAACTTTAAAAAAAAAAAAAAATCTCAACCTCAATCAATCTTTAACCTTTAGTTACATATCATCAATTCAGATTTTTTTTCAACCTTTAGTTATAAATCATCAATTCAGTCAACCCTTAGTTACATATAATCAATTCAGATTTTTTTCCACCTTGCAACCTCATTATAAATTCTGGGGTTATGACTTACAGTTTAAAAACCACTGATATAGATGATACCTGAAAATAAATGTAAACATGAAAAAGAAAAAAGAAAAAAAAGAAAAAGAAAAAAAAACCACATCAAGCTCAATTTTAAAATGAAAGAAAATTTACATACATAGAGCTTAAACAAGCTAAGATGCTTACTGTAAACTACCAGCTGTAAAAACAACAGTGGCAGAAAGCATAATATAGAGAAAATGTAAAAAAATAAATATCCAATTCTAATCTGCTAAAATAGTGTAAATTTCTGAACTGTAATTTTTCCTAGTAAACATGTTTTAAATTAAATTATTTATCAAAATCTTTATATATCTACAGATAGATACTAACTTTCTTCATACAGAATAGATGAAATGTGATTCTTTTCCTTAAGTTCACATTCCCCATCAACTTCGTCTTGAGATTCTTCAATAGGAATTTCATCTTCCTAAAAATATTTGAATGAATAAGTTTGAAAAGAAAATATAATAAAAACGTCTTTTCTTCCTCCAACAACATAATAATAAACAAAAATAAGTTTTCAAAAGAGGACAAAAATACTGAAAGGGTCAGATTTTGATTGTCACCAAAAAGACTTTATTAAGGTTTTTCTAAGCTCTTGTTTAGCTCGTAGTTTACCAATCTGCTAAGGCACTCACTCCTGCTAACCTATTTCTTTTTGGCTTTTTAGCTTTATTATTAAGCATAATTTTCTTCAAACTTATTCCATATACAATTTAACAGCAAAATTACAAAAATTTTAAGAGTCATGTATTTAGAATTCCCAATAAAGTGTTAACTGTTGGCACACATTTTTGAATTTGTTCAGTCTTTTCTAAGTTTATTATATCAATGTACAGTTTTCTAAGTAAGATGGCTTGCAAACCTTTTTGTCTTTTTATTATTAATATTTTTTGTGTTAAATTTAACAATTAAATTTCCATGTTCTTCGCACTTATGCCATATAAAATTCAAACAAATAGCAAAATTACAAAATATTTAAAAAGAGCATATCTTTAGAATTTCCGATATACAGTCTCACACACTGGAGACAACAATGTTTTAATCTGTAAAGTGCTGCCACTGCTTGCTTTCAAATAATTGAGTTTGTTAGAAATTTATGAAAATTTTACAAAATATGATATATCAAATTCAAAATTCAGGTGCATATGTTTGGGTGGAGGACTATATTATTTAAAATTTGATGGCCCTAGGTACCGTCATTTTTTCACAATGCAAGAAACATACAATCATTCATGCAGATTCTCCATTATTTAATTTCTTTAAAAGTAATACAGGGCAATAATATTTCGTGGCAACAATCTGAAGAGTGATTCGCACATTTCAAATGATACATTGATAAATCCTGTTTCGAGACTATTAGCCCATTCGGGCTAACGCCCATTTTAGGTTAAAAACACAAAAAAAAGTTGTTACGTAAGAACTTGTAACAATAATTTATCAATTTAATTCTAAGAAGTAAATTAATGAATTTATTCACATCTGCAAAAGCACCTATACATATATAGAATAAAATATTTGTCTTTCTTGAAATATACAAAACTGAGTCACATTAGCAGAGGTGCCAGTTTTGATGCTTTAAAAACTGGGACATTTCTTCATAAAAAAAAAAAAAAAAAGAAGAAGAAGAAGAAGAAAAGGAGAAACTAGAAGTTTTTATTAGGATTCTTTTCATGAAAAGAATGCTGTATAACCATACTTTTAAGGATCAGATCAGAACCATTCGCTCACTGAAATGAATCAGTACTTTTTTATGACTGGCAGCTCACTAACAATAACCTCAATGAAAAAGATTCAGAATGAGGTGTTGTTACTGGCCACGAGAGGATGTGACCTTTTTATTTTTATGCTCATTATATATATAATATTATATATATATATAATTTTTTTTTTTACCACGCATAGTGGATTTTGATATAAATGTAGTGGCAACTTGAGTAAAAAATTAAAAACGTTCTCATGTAAACATACAATTGTTGTAAATAACTGTAAATAAAGTTTCTGTGTGGGGAAAAAAGGACAAAGAATTCCAAGGGTCTTGTAAATCTTCATCAAGGAAGGTGAGGAAGCAGAAAGATATTCTTATCAAATATTGTTAAATGTTAAAAATAAGAATAAGAAAATATAAATAAGAAAAAAGTACAATAATTTCTAAATGGTGCCTAACGCCCACGATAACAATGATCTTTAGATATATTAGGATTTAAGTACTTAATTATTGTTCGATGAGTGATTGAATATTGATTACTAAGATGGATACGTTAAAAGCACTAAAAAAGAAACGAGGAAATCATCAGTTACCATTAGTTGCCGAAAACTACGCTAAGGCAATAAAAATTCTGAAAGAAAGGTTTGGCAGAATGGAAATTTTAATAAACGCACATAGGAATTGCCTGCTGAATTTAAAGCCAATAAAAAAAATTGATGATATTAAAACATTACATAACTTATATGATAGTTTAGAAATTGAAATTAGAAGCCTTGATTCCCTTAATGTTACTTCGAATTCTTACAGCTATTTGTCATGCCATGTTAATGAGAATACTTCCTTGCGAATTACTTTTAGAGTTCAATTGATCATTAACCCCTGACACAAAAACCACAATGACTAACATTTTGGAATTTCTGAAGAAAGAAGTTGAAAGCAGAGAGCATACATTTTTCCAAACATCACCAAATTATTCTGAATTTGACATCAGAACCGAACAACACAAACATCAATCGCAAGACCTTATTAAAAGTGAAAAACATCATACTGCCTTAAAAAATAAACATATTGTCCGAGTGGTTGTGTCGTTGAATACGAATACATCAACAGCTGATTATATATTTTGTGGGAAGATAGAATATGAATCTTTGAAACCAATCTAAGTTGCACAATTCGAATTGAGGAGAAAAGAAAGAAATTAAAAATGGCTGGCAGATGGCATTTATGTTTTTGTAAGGCTCATACGTCAGCCTGTTGCAGCTCGGATATACGCTGTGATTTATGTTCATTAAGGCATGATACTACTTTACATAATAATAAATTTGAAACTAAAGGTGAGCTTAAAACAGACATAGTGGTGTCGTCGATTTCGTAAAGAGATAACAAAAATAGGGTTTATTTACAAACTGCAAATGCAATAGCTTTAGGTCAGAATAGAAGAAAAAATGTAAGACTCATTTTTGATTCTGCCTTTCATAAATCTTTCATCCTGACAGAAGTATCAAAACAATTAAAATTAAAAGTTATAGGGGGAAGACCTTCAAATTTACACATTCAGCTCTACTGAGACTACACTTAAAAAGCTAAAGAAGGTTAAGGTTATTCTTAAAGATATATGTGGACCTGGGAAAATAATAATTGAAGCTCTTGAAACTCCAGAAATTAACCAAGCTGTTATTGGTATGCCAGGAAAGGAAATACTTGATTATTGTAAGGAAAATTCGATAAGACTTGCTGATACTGTAAATATAGGTGGCCATAATCTTCAAATATCAGCATTAATCGGTAAGGATTTTTATTGGAAAATAGTCACCCGGAAGGTAAAAAGATTACCAAAGGGTCATGTTGCCTCTGAAACCCTATTTGGTTACACTGTAAGTGGAACTGAAGCATTAAGTAATGTTTCTACCCTTCATTCC